TAAAAGAACAATGAAAAAAGGAGATCAGGCTAGCTGCTATAGATCACACAATTTCAGTCTGGTGCATCCAACGAGGAGGGCCCTCTGATTCCTCCTGTCTTGAATGGCATTGCAACTGTACTGTTTGCCTTCATGTTGTAAAGCGCTATGCAAACTGTTTGCACTATATAAATCCTGTATTATAAGTATAATAACAGTAATGTCATTACCAGAGCATTCGAATAGCTGGGGGGGCGAATGTCCTCCCTCCTGTACAGTAGTGTGTTACCATGCACTGCACCACAGGTGCATTTTCTTTGGTATGTTGGGGTGCCATTGCAAATAACTTGTGCACTGCAATGCTGTACAAGGTGGAATGCAAAAAAGGTGTGAAAGTGTCCTAAAGTATGTGTAACACCCGGAGCAACATTTTCTCTTTCTGCAAGAAAAAAAACACCACACACAACACACAAAAACCCCAGACTCAACCCAATCTTATACAAGGTTATCTGCTTTCCTAGGCATCTTCTATGAACTACAGGACACCTCCCTATGTAATGGAGAAAGGGGGAGGCATCTGTAGTCCAAAGAGAGCAGCCTAGTGTGACAAAGCTTCTCTTCAGTAGATACAGTACAGTCAATGAGCATGGTCACCCTAGGATAGGAAACATGTAATCAGTAAATGAGTAGAACACATTTTTTTGTTAAAGAATCAGAAAAAGAATAGATTACATTTTTGTTACATTTTTAGAGAAAAGCCAAAAGGAATTTTGAACCATGTTGCAAGAAACAGAAATAAAAACCAAAAGGCAAGAAATCTGATAGGAATTCTTTTTTTATGTTATTCCAATAAAAAATACATTCATACAGAAATATAACAATCTTGCAAAACAAATTTTCAAATAAAATCTTGTAAAACAAAATTTATTTTTACAAAAATCTTACAAAGATTTTTCAGATAACAGGGTGTATCAGAACGAAAAAAAAAAAATTAAAAAAATAAAAACAAAAACCTACTAATAAAACTTTTCCCTCCCCTCAAATTTCAAGCAAGTGTGTACCCCCCCCCCCCCCCCCCCTCCCATCAGCTTGACTGAGGCTCAGTTATCACCTGAACAGAGTGCGTTTTCCTCATTAAGTAAAATTTATAGGCATTGATATAGAGGAGGTTCACACAACCCCACCCAACCCTAAAGAATGCTGATGGCATTTTACGAGCAAGACAAGCCAGTGCAAGTTGTGCACTTTTGTTTATCTTCTTGCGATTATTATGGCTGAACTTTTAGCACTTCAAAACGAGGCGTTCTGAAATGTCACCATTCTCCAGCTTATACAAAGACTATTTACTAGCCTTGTCCGTGTGAAACCGAAAAATACGGAGGAGCCGGCTTAACTGGTTTTATGCCAAAACCAAAACAGAGAATGACAATTTACTTACACAGTAAGTTAAAAAAAAAAAATGAAAAAAAAAAAAAATAGTTATGGGCCAACAAGTTTTAAGACAACTTTAGTAACTACATGTTTAAAAATACAAAAATACTGCCATAAAGGAGCAATGCACACACTGAAGACATCCTTCAAGAAAAATGGATATCCAGACAAGTTTCCACTGTTGCCCTGGTGAAAAGGTGAATATGGAAGCTACTGTACAAACTCATTAAGGGATTCCATTGTGTCAGTGTACCAGCTCTCCAGGACTGGTGGCAAACAAAACTGAAAGCGAATGAGAAGCAGGTTTTAATTTTTGGGCAACTCCACAATTTATCGAGTTGATGGCAAATCACTTTGCTTGTGGCAGTTTTCAATTTCCTGCAGATCTGACAAATAGTTAGGTATTAACTAGCTATACTTTAGCCATCATCTCATCTGTCCTTCAAAACAGCCCCCAAGTTGGCACAGATGGTAGTAAACTTGGTGCAAAAATGCAGCTGTGTAGGAATTGATTGCAACTGCTAAACAGGTTAATGGAAACTCAAGCTGCTATGGGCTACAAAGGTTTGTCACTCCAATCTGCTTGCAGATCAAGCGGTAGACTAGAACACATATGCTCCCCTTAAGGCGTAGGCACACCATTTGCTTTATTCACATTTTCTGCATTGTTTATAAAATTAAGAACACTTGCTCATAATGGACATGCTGCGAAGCCCTAGAATACTTAACATTTATTTATGGTTTCCTTCAGGGCAGATTTTGAATTGCTCTCTAAAAATGGAAGTCTCATCTCATGCAACAGACAATATTGATGATCTTCCATCTGTTTTCTGTCATGGCAGATTAGAAATTGCAGAGAAAATGTAAGATCCAAGTACAAACCACAATCACCCACTTTCGTACACATGTGGAAGATTTATTATAGCCCAGATAGGGCAACAAGCCTTCCAGCGAGTCAGTTTTAAGTCTATCAAATCACTGCAAAAATTACAACCTTGGGGGGCGGGTTTTAATTAAAGTGTCCCGATCACATTATGGCCATCTCTTCTGTAGCCCATGAGTTCGAACCAAAAGAGGGGCAACAAAAGGTGAAGTTAGCGCCCCTCAAGTAACTACATTGTGCACAGGAAGTACAAAAAGGGCTGCTCTGTAGCATTTAAAAAAGGACCCCACTTAAACCACCCACCCACCCCCAAAAAACTAATTTTGCCACAATTCTACTGCCCATTCCCAATGAGATTTATTTTTGAATGGAATTTCAACACACACTGACATATAGCATCGGGTGAAAAATTGGTTGAGTAATTGCTGCAAGAGCTGAAAGAAAGCATCACTGTGGCTTGATACTATCCTAAATGTGTGCATGCCCCTTAATATTTATTTTTCCAAAATAGAACTTTTTAGATTGCATGTAACACTGTGCATTGAATACTACCTTTACATAATTCTTTATGACCACTCTAAGGTCGTGTTCATTCAGTATTATCTGTGGCAGTACAGTACACATTCTACTGCAAATCCATGCAGGGTTTTCTTTTAAAGTAAAAAAATATATAAAAAAAAAAAAAAAAAGACTAAAATCTAAATGCTCAGGATATCAACTTTTAAAACTTTTATTCTACAGTTGCAGAATCTGTTTTTAAACATTAAATAACATATTACAAAAATATATTTCAAACTCTTAATACAGCTCTTCACACTCAGTGACCTAAGACTACAAATGACTACAAATGTTTGCACCCAAAAAAACCTAAATTTGAAGAAAAAAAAAAAAATTGTTGCCCGTGATACATTTGCTTTGGTGGATGTCTGATTTCAATAAAGTTCAGACATTTGGAAAAAAAAAAAAAAAAAAAAAAAAATCTATTTCAAACAACACATTCTGTACCTTGACAAGTATATGAGTATTTTACATAATAAGTGCATGTATGGATACATTTGTGCAACTTTTGTGTAAAGAAAGTGTAAGCGATAGCTCTGAACATCAGTGATTTAGAAAAAAGCAGGTTAGTATACCATGTGAGGTTGATGTAGTATGGGGGGGGGGGGGAAGAGAAGGACACACATCCACACACACACACACAAGAGCCAAAACACAAAAAAAAACAGTAATGTGTTTTCCAGGCTTTGTGCGACTGTGTGCAAGTTTTATTTAGCAGAGCAAGGGTCGATGAACACCGTAATAAGATGGGACAACGTGGGCACCAGTAGTAAAGGCCAATCAAATGCAGCAGTATTGGGACAAAATACCAACTCACAGAAAGAAAAATAAAATGGAAGTCCTGCCCATAACAAGTTTCCGGCCGCCTTTTTTAGTGATGACAGAAATCGAACTGGTCAGTACTCCCAGTTCTGTAAGGTCTGTTGTATCCGACTGGCTGTTAGTAGCTGGTGCTCCATTAACCCGCTTGCAGCACTGAATGGCCCAAGCATGGTGGGAAAAAAAAAAAAAAAAAACACAAAACAAAAACAAAACTACACTCTAGGGTGACAACAGAGCCTTAAGTAAGCTTACATCACTTAAACCCCTGTATCAGACCCCCACCCATTATAGGAGAAGGCCACTTGCATAAGGCACCATTTTTAAGGTCAACAGTGCGTTAACAGCTAGAAAACCGGAAATTAGTCCTCAAGGCATAAATAATAGAAAAATTAGCTGCATGAGAAAAATCAGTATAAGCTATTAGTGGTTTTTTCCCACTTTTTTCCTTTTTTTTTTTTTTTTTTTTTTAATTTTCTTCTTTTTTTTTTTTCTTTTATTTTTCAATTCTATACATAAGTAACGTAACAACAGACCAATTGTATTTAGCTGCTCTCAACTGGAATCATAACTGCAGTCCTGATTAAAGAATGGAGAAGCGTACACATTTCCCCCTGATCCATGCAATACCTTTTCTATTATAATGAAGTTATAGTTGTGTTATAATTGGTAGATACACAGCTTATACAATGGATTACAAACGATCGTTGTAGCAAAACGAGCTACTTGACACATTGCACGTTTAATAGCTGCACCAGACAACAAAAGCACCTCTCACACAGGAAAGGGATCATCTGCTTTTAAAGGGTGGGCTTTAGCGCCTTTCAGCAGCACAGGCCCCCCCCTTACCAAGCAGGATGACAGATGGTTGTCCCATATAACTCAGTATGCCATAGCATACAAACATTCAAACCGTTTTTTTTTTAATAACTATTTTTCATATTTTTTTTTCTAATCCCTCACAACTGAACTCAACCATAACAAAAAATAAAAAGTTCTTCCTCATTCAGACATTGGCTCCTGGTCACCATTCAGTCACCCAGTCATTAACATTCTCAGTGCACATGCTCACGGCGACGGCTTAGACAAGCCACTCAGAAGATAAAGCACCAATAGTGCACAGGCCCGGTCAGCTCCAGAAGTAGCACTGTATGGTGGCTATGCCGCATCTCACACGATTGATAAGCCCTGCAAAGCCTCTTGGAGAAAGTGAGGTCTTGAAGGCAACTGGTTAGGGTGCAAACTGGCATGCTTTGGCTGGAACTCGCATCCCTCGCACAAGGCAATTGAACCTTGAAGTCGCTCTAAATCTCTTGACATCCGCATTCATTCACATGTGTCGCTTCATGTGCAGAGCCAAATGGTCTGATCTTGAGAAACACCTGAAAGAAGAATACAACATTCTCAGAACAGGTTTACAGTTAGACTTACAGCAACAGGTATGCAAGCTTTAAGGAAGAAAACATGTTAAGATCTTAAACCATAGTAGCAATGGAACCTCCAAAATATGCAAGTGACCACTGAATATATAAAAACACATGGTTCCCTATGGTGTAAGCTACACAATTAGCATGCAACGACAAATAATCACACAGAAACAACACTAGAATAAAGCTGGCCATAGATGGATTGATAGTCCATGTGGAACCAGAAACATTTCGATCCATCTATGGCCATTCCCATTCAAGAGGAGTCAACCTAGTGATTAACTCCTCTCGAATGGGAATGTTGGAAAGTATGTGTTTGACCAGCGCAAGCAACCATTTGGCTGCAGTGTAAAATGGCAGTGAAGGGGTCTCACTGTCAGAATAAAATAGCACAGCGGGCGGGGGGGGGGGGGGGGGGACGGGGGGACACCAATACTATATATGGCCAGCCTACTGGTCTCTAAACACTATGTTAATACCGCAGAGAGCTATTTTCTTCCAACTGTAGCGATCAATCTCTATCCTTGGTGAGAATTAGCACTTTTACTAATGTCAGTAAATACTGCTGGTCAAGTTCACATGGTGACGGTGATGGGATACAGGAAAGGGATGAAAGAATGGTTTCTAAAAAAGGCCAAGAAAAGTACACAGTGGTGCACTTCTTCCAATCCATTTGAGGTCAGTTGTATGTACTAACTACGCACAGAAAACCTCATCTCATTTTATAAAAAGGCATATAGTGTGAGGTGCTCCGAGATCCACCCTCTACTTGGTAGATGGAGTCTACCATGAAGATAAATGAGCCAAGCACTGTGGAGGACATACTGAAGTGCTGGAATGGAAAAAGCTCTCTTTTACAAATGACTTGTTAATAACGTTCACATCCATTGTACAACCACCGATATCATCCTTCAGGTTTTCCAGAAGCAGTGAATGTTGGAATATTACACATATGGCCTTGCACGGAAAACAAATGGCCAATGTGTCCAGATCTTACCCTCGGTTGAAAGCTGAAGACAGGCCTTGTGAAAACAAGGCAATGAGAGAAGATGTGTAAATTGCTGCTTATAGTAGCAGTTTGTCATTTTCCAGAACACGACATCTGAAATGTGTAATTTACGTGGCAACCTTAGCAACAACAGAGATTCATAGAAACAAGATGCTATAATTGACCAAGCTGATCATGGAAAGTACCAAGCTTCAGCTCTAATTTTCCAAGCTATACTACAATACGACAATTGTAATGGGGTTGCTATGGCTACCAGACATTTTGTAATAGTCTTACATATCAGGTTATCGGCATATTCTAGGTTTCGCTTACGGAGCATAGCTGCTATCTTGCATATGTGGAAAGGACCAAAATCAGGCAGTGCGGGGCAGCTTTTTCATCTGCCAAGACACTGTCCATGGTACAGGCAGGACTTTATAGAAATGTTTGTTTTTTTTTGCCACTGCACCTCTGGCACATTATGGCTCAGTTCACCTGAGTTCAAGGGTTCATTACAAAGATGGCTGAGCAGTGGCATAGAAAAGGCTGACATATAGAGAGAGTAACATGAACTTTGTGTACAATGCTCCACTGTTGTGACCAGAGCCAAATAGTGAACACACAGATTTTGCCCTGGAACCATAGCCGTTTCATTGATCCTGAACATTATGGCTGCCAAGACATTCCATTTTCCATTTCCGCCACCCCCAGGTTCCCTCCACTGGCTTCCGATTGCGCACAGATTTTAAAATCCTTTTGACGTTAGAGTGCTGATCCAAAAATTGGATATTTTTACCCCCCAATTCATACAACATTATGGCTCAGAGTGAGTTCAAGTATTCCCAATAGCCAACGCTTTCTGGGTGTCAGTCAAAAAGGCTGACATTTAGAGAGGACTTGAAACATCCCAACTTTAGATATTTTAAGCCGAAAGAGCAATAGCGCTCATGTTTTGCATATTCTGTGACCAGAGCCAATATAGTTATCATGAACACACAGATTGAAGGAACCATAGCGTTCATATATGAAGGCCTAGAAGCAAGCAATATTGGTCAGATCAAAGATTTAGAGTGCCACACTGAAAAGTCCAAATTGGATATTTTTTTTCCAAAACATATAGTGAACTCAATAGCCAACGCGTTTCAGGGGCCTCACTTCATCAGGTTTTAAGAAAGTTGGAGGACTTGAGCTTTAGATAATATACAGTTATCCAGATTCTGATAGCCTAGATCTCCTTCAGCAGCTGGTGAATGCAGAAAGCAGCCAGCAATAATACAGGAAGAGAATTAGAGGAGTTGTAGAAGCTAAAGGTTTTGAGCACCTTCTATGTGCAACAGCCCAACGAAACCCCCCCCCCCCCCCCCCCCCCCAATACTTACCTTAACCCCATCACGATCCAGCGATGTGCTCCCTCCCCGCAGTGGGAGCCAATCACAGTCAGTGGGCCAATGAGGAGAGAGAGGGGTGGGGCCTGAGCCATAGCTCTGTGTGCGACTAGACATGCAGATGCAGAGCAGTGGCTCCAGAGAGAGCCTGCTTGGGTGCCCCCATACCGAGCTGCTTGTTCTGGGAGCACTCAGCAGGAGGGAAGGGCCAGGGGCACTGGTGGGGGACCTGAGAAGAGAGGGATCGGGGATGCTCTGTACAAAACAATTGCACAAGGCAGGTAAGGATTTATTTAAAAAAATAAATATCACTTTAAGCCATTAAAACAAAAAAACTACAACTGCCACAAATGTCAGTAGCCATCTAATGTAACAGGTAGAATTTAAATGGCTGCAAAGGCATACTTTTTTTTTAACATAACAAAACATGTTATACTTACCTGCTCTGTGCAATGGTAACCTCCTCCTCTGGAATCTCCCAATGGCACTCTGCTCCTCCAATTCTAGCAAGAGGAGGAGCACATAGCAAGCTGTGTGCTATGAAATATGGGGTACTCGTACAGGCGCATTCCCAAGCCTGCCTTGGTCTTCCCTATCTCCCCACCCACCCCCAAGAATGCATTAAGGTAAAACCCTTACACATACCCAACACATAACAACCCAATCCTCCCCCACCTCCATCCTTCTGCCCAGGACAAGATTAAGTTCCACTGTTTCTGTACATTAGGCCACACCACTTCCATTCAGCTGTCAAATGCTGGAATCAGGTATGATTCTTTTCATGCCAGGTATGATTCACAACATTCCTGCATTTGAAAGCATCAGCAGCCATTTTGTTTTGTATATGTTGCAATTCGAAAAATTTGCAAAAAAAAGAAAGGGAGTATAGAGAACAACAAAGTAAAGCATAGCAATGTATAGACTGTATCTCATCTTACCGTTCACAATGTGTGCACTTAAATGGCTTGGCACCAGTGTGTTTTCGGAAGTGTCTGGTCAGTTCGTCACTTCGTGCAAAACGCCACGTACAGCCTTCCCATGAACATCTGTAAGGCTTCTCTCCTGAAAAACACAATCACAAAACAATCTAGTTTAGTTATTAGTAATTTCAACTGTGGGAAACCATGGGAAAAAAAAAAAAAGAAATCTATTTAGAATGATCTAATCACAAGTTACACACTGCTGTAGATGTGAACAGACCCCTGGCAGTCAAATGGTTAGCTCAGTTTGTTTGCAAATGGGGCAGTATATGGTTCGCATTGAGTAACCTGAGTAACTCCATTAGGCACACACTAAACAAATCACAATGGAATAAACATTGGTTATCTTCAGTCTGCTCATCAAAAAGTCAACTTGCAAATCTCCCCAAGCCCTGAGGAAAGTAAAACTAATGAGCAATAGTCTTTAAGCTGACTAATGCTGCACAGTGAATGACAACTCTAAACTGTGAGAAACTAAAAAAATGCATTTTACATGAGGAGGTGATGACAGGCTGAGGACATCGCTTAGCCTTGTGATTTTTCCTGACAGTCAGTGGGAGTGTACATGGAAAAAAACTGGCAGCACAAAGTAACTGGAAGTAGAAGAAGTGATCACAAATTGCATCTGTTCTTTTAAAGCCTAGCTGTACTTTTACCTTAAATCAGCTATATTCATTTCAGCTGCATCAAAACAAAATAGAGATTAAAGTCTTACAGTTTGTTCTAATTACAGCTACGACCTGGAATAGAAAAGCTTGTCCACTGTCAACTTGCTATAGACAAGGACCCTTGTTCTAGGTGTGGAAGCAGTGGTCTCTCTGAAGCAGTCTGACACCCTCTACCAAGTCAAACTTACAGCATTGCAAACTAAAAAATCCATTCTCACTGCTGATTGGAGAGCACTAGCTGACTCATCAGGGGGTGTTAGACCTTTGCTTGCACATGCTGGCAAGGGATAGTCTTTTCTACCCAAGTTGTTGCTGCTTTTTAAGGAAAACACACTTTTCAAAATTTTTCCCCCCATGTACCGGATATATATACTTAGGGGATTAAACCAAAAGTTCAGTTGAGCTTCAAAAGAACCACTATTTGTGATGACTTCTTCTAGTTCGTTCTCCTGCAGCCTCCTTCTCTCCCTGTGACTGCAGCAATGCCAGCAAAAGAGAAATGTTTAATGATTTGAGTAGAAAAAAAAAAAAAAATTGTAATCAATACAAAATCAGGCACACTTCTCTGATCTCGTTAGCATAAAGGCTTTGATTGCCCTACTTCTGAAAATCCTAGTTACCTGCCTTCAACCCAGATTCAATGGCTTCAGTCATTTCTAACCAATGGCCAGAACAACAATGCCGGTAAGGTGACCTGAAATCACTTTCGTTTTACTTGCAGTTTGCTTGTTTCAGGTTACTGGCTTTGGTGTTGACGTTGGAGACAGTTAGGCAACTAGAATTTTTCAAAGAAGGTCAGCAATGGCAGTCTACATATACATATCTGTAGAGGTTTCTTCAAATCTGTTGTAATCTAAAAGGGTTTCTTATTTGGCTGTTTGCAGGATTCACCTAAGTAAACAGTTTAGATGCTTACGTACTCATACTTATCAGGCATTGATATTTAGCAAGGCTGGAGCTTGTGGGTTATTGGGCAATAGAGCCTTATTTTATTAGCATCATTTGCTATAGCTTATACACAGTGGTGCCAGTGCATAAATAGAATTGCTTCATACTCTCAGCCTGGTAGGGGAATGAAAAGCCTTGAAGGTCAAGAAATTGCTTTACTAATTGTCCTCCTTCAAAGTACTTGAAACTATCTATAATCATGGAAAATGCCTTTTCTTAAAAGCACCAAGGCGATTGACTTACTGGGAAACAAACTGGGGCAACCACTACATATCACAACTTTATACACCATGGTCTTGTGCAAGCCAAAGTAATACACTCTTGTGTTCTCAATGACCAAAATGTGACAGTCAACACTTCAGAATGGGAAGAATAGTAGCAGTCAAACTGCAAAATTTTATTCAATAAAAACAAAACCTATTTTGACAATGCAACCATTTGTTAGCCTTCCATTGAGTGTAGGATACAAAAAAAATTGCATCTATAAATACATTTTGAAGGTTTCCAGTCAAGCTGTAATCTTGTTTAATGTTCAAAGACTATTATCAACCCCAAAACACAACTGGGGCTGTCAATAGTGTGCATTTAGATTTGAGTTTGATTTACTTTTGGCGTTTCTTTTAGCAGTGAATATTTATAGTAAAGTTGGACAAATCCCAACATACCGAGTTCTGAAGGAAGGTCAATGTAGACAAGTATTTGTGCTTGTTTACAATAATAGGTGTGCTTGTTCCCTGGTTACATTCTGAAAAATTTCCTATGGGCTACTGGATTTGATTCTTTGATTCCTATCCCACTCATTTAAAGGACAGATTAAATAAAAGAACACAATACGCAAATGAGGTCAACAATGTAAATGTATGCCTTGATCCAAGCAAAAACATACAAATTTTTTGCAATGGATATAAAACACGGAGGGTCCTTTACAGGTAATAAGGGCAACAACTGAAGACCTTCTCTGCAGATCAAAAATTGTATAATGTTGAGTAAAAATATTCCAGCACACTTTTTTTGATATCTGCATGCAAAGCGTTGTAAACATAAAAAAATTGTGTGTGGAGGAAAAAAAAAAAAAAAAAAAAAAAAAAAAGAAACTGGAACAATAAGTAACCAATAGGTCTCTCATTGTACCAACAAACTAACCAGCCATTGCACAATGGACAGTGTTAGATGACACACACATTGAGGACAAATGCTTTGTGTTTGTGCTCATTCATTATTATTTTCCTGTGGACACAAGTCAAGGAAAGACAATGGATATTTAGGAAGCTCATGCTGGATAAGCATTATGCGATTCCTTTTCCTGGACACTCTCTCTGTAGTCTAAGCTCCAGCCTCACAGCAGGAAGGAATGAGGAAGGACTTTCCCCTAGACAAGGATTTACCATGACATCATTGATGGACTTTGGGTTTCCACCCTGTGGTTGTGCAATGGCATGACAGCAAGGGATTCCCTTCTGTCAAGCCCCTTTTATTAACCAATCACCGAATAAGCACTGACCTGTATGGGTACGCTGATGTGCTTTCAAGTGCGAGCTCTCTTGGTGTAAACTTTCTTACAGCCATTAAAAAGACACTTATGGACACGTTTCCGGCCGTCTGGCGAAGTCTCTCCGCTGGTCGGACTACCCTGTTCAAGAGTCTTTCCAAAGCACCCAGAGCGCACTTTCCCTGGTGAATGGAGCTCTCCAGTGATAGCATTCCACAAATGAGTGGGGGACTCCTTGCCTTGCTCTGGGGATGAAGGTGGGGTGGAGGTGGCCGACGAGCTAAATGGTTCGGTTTTAATCATTATGTCACCGATTGGATCTGAGGTAAATTTGATGGTTGGGGAAAGTTCTTCAGAGCTGTCCGACAATTCGCTACTAATATCAGAGTTCAGGCTAGTTGTCTCTAAGTTCTGACTATCAGAGATGTCCTCGGTTTTGATGCAGATAATCTGGGGGTCCGGGTCCTCTTTTTTCTCGCACGCCAGGATAAATTTGGTCCAAAGGTCCTCTTCCCGATCAAACTTAAATTCAGAGGCCGAAACGTAGCAAGGTTCACTTTGTAGGTAGCGTTCAAGTTCCAAGCACGTCTGTAAAAAAGAGGGAAAAAAAAAAAAAAAAGAAGAAAGGGATGAAAATTCAAGCGGAAGTCAACAAATGTCTGGTTTATGAAAACTGTAAACAAACATTAAGTGATTTCATATGGCAACCAGATTCCATATAACACCTAGGTAGGCTACAACTATGGGGCTGATGTAGAAGACTAGTGGCAGGGAAAAAAAAGCCCAAAAATCTAAATCTGTAGCCAAAGTTTCTCATTTTGTTTTCATGATGGCTTGGCTGCTATGGGCAATACCAAGTCTTCAGTTTTTCATATATCAACCTATGAATATCATTCACTTCAAGGAACACGCAGTGACAAGCATTAAGCATAATCAGAGTTGTCGCCCATTGCCGCTAATCATATTCATTCATGTGCTGAACTGGGAAGCACAAAGTGGTTAAGCTGACATTTGAAGTGCATGACAGTCTAGTCAGAATAGCACAGAGGCCCAACATGCTGCAAAGACATCAGATCGCCTACATTAGTCATCAGATATCCTCAGTGAATTAAGACCGATGAAAGGCGACTGCTGATTGGCTGCTAACAGACACTGCACTTTAAATGCTGCTCTTTGCCCCATTCACATAGGCCACATAGTCGTTCATATACTCCAACTATGAATAGGCAACGACTTATCTGGTCAAAATGGACGCTAGTTATTTCCTTCCAGAAAGTGAAAAATTAACCTTGCAAAAAGCCAAGTTTGCAGAACTGCCACATTTACAAATGAACAAATGCAGAAGTTTGGGGAGGGGGAGCGGGGGTTGCAAAAGAAATAAGGAAGCAAAAGATGTGACCAACACAACAGATATTGACGAATTATAAATGGCTGATTGGAGGCCACAATTCTTTCAGAGACTTCTGGAAATCATACAATGGACAAGAATTTGATCTTCTAGCCAATAGTACAACTGGATGAGTCATCTGCATTCCTTTCACGCTCAGCCAGAAAAGAGGCTTCCTTCTGAAAAGCTGAAGCCAAGCCAAGGAACTATACTGGTAAAAGCAGATCACTCTTGGTGGTAAATACTATGTTCAAATTTATAGATTTTTAAATAAATAACAATTCTTAACATTTTGATCCTTTTAGAAACAAGACAAGACAAAGCACCGTAGATCAGGATATGGCCTTAGCTGTCCTGGTTGCTGTAAAATGTCAGACACTTATTTTTGCACGGACCTGGGTGCTCACTTCAGCCCCATAGCCTACAGACACAAGCCATCAAAATGCCACACATATTTCCCTAGCTAGCGAACAGCCCAGGAGGGATCCCATACTGCATGATTGTATTTCCTCTTGTGGTCTGAACAGGAATTCAAATTAGCAGCATGTTGCAAAGCACAAAAAGAAAAAAAAAAACCTGTACAAATCAATGATTACATTTTCCTATAATTAGACAATTGCTCTGCTGTGCAGATGAGAAAATGCATTCTATTGATCCCGAAAATGAAGGAGGGGGGGAGGCTACAATTGATTGTGATGTTGTTAAACTTTAATAATCCAGCTACTTTAAATTCTCCATTATGCAAATAAGCGCAGGGAGCAGGAGATGGGCCCTGTGATAGTTTAAATGTCTCTGCAGGCTTTCTGGGAAGAGGAGCTGGCTCTGTGCCAGGATCTAAAATGCCTGAAGGAAGCTACTGAGATCAATTTCAATCACACACAAGAAGATCTGCCTCTTTGATGGCACAGAGGAGGGGGACGAATACAATTAACCAGGAATGTGAAGGTTGTAACACTTTAGTGCTCAGCTCACAAACAAACAGACATTTGATCTCTTAATTCATTTGGTTACAAAAAGTAAACATGACTACATGGGCAGACAAGGACAATGCTGTGACAGGCTCAGGGAAACAATGGCAAGACCACTCTGCAGCCTTTGACAAGCTGATAGCACCATATAATAAAGGAGTCTGGTTTGTTTGGAGGAGTGGGGATAGACAATACAAAAGGTCAGTGCCACAATGGTCTGGTTAGGGAGAATTAGCCTTTTGTTTCAGTGATTAGTGACTGTCACATAACATCATGGGGGGGGGGGGGGGGGGGGGGGGGGGGGGGGGGGGGGGGAGGGGGGGGGGGGGGGGGGAGATTCATTCTATTAAAACATTTTATACTAATGTACACCCTATGAATCCTAAGCTCTGACAGGTTGGCCAGAGGCTCAGTCCAGGTGAGGGGTATGCAACCTGTAGGTCAAGGCACCTAAACATGCGCTCAAGATGACCAGACATACTATTCATTCTATGAGAAGCAGTCTAGATGTGGGGCAAGAAACCTCAGGGTCAAGGCCCCTAAAACAAGCTCTTAAGATGGTTCGACGTTCCATTCATTCAGCTGGGAAGCCATTTAGATGTGAGATATGCAACCTGTGGATGAAGACCCCATAAAAGCTCTCACAATGACCAGACATGCCACTCATTCTACTGGAAAGCCATCTAGATTTGGGGTATATAACCTGTGCATGGAGACCCCATAAAATCTCCTTAGATAGCAAATCTACAGGGATGCATACTAGATTTGGGTATGCAACCTGTGGGATGAGACCCCCCCAAACTCTCAGGATGGTCAGGCAAGCTATTCTTTCGACTGGGCAGCTGTCTAGATCAGGGGTATGCAACCTGTGGATAGAGACCATCATAAAAGTTTTTGACATGGTCATTCTATTGGGAAGCTGTCTAGATGTGGGCTATGCAACTTGTGGGTCAAGAACCCATAAAAACACTTGCTATTGATTCAACCAAGAAGCTGTGTAGATGTGAGGTATGCAAACTATGGCTGAAGATCCCCCAAATAAGCTCTTCAGATGGTCATGCATGCCATTCATTCTACTGGGTAGCTAGCTAGATGTAGGGTATGCAACCCATAACCCCCTCCCCCCCCCCCAACAAGCTCTTGAGATGGTCATACATGCCATTCATTCTATTCTGTAGCTATGTAAATGTACGGTATGCAACCCTTAAACACCCCCCCACAAGCTCATGAGATTGTCATACATGCTATTCATACTATTGGGAAGCTTTCTAGATGTAGGGTATGCAACCCATAGCTTAAGACCCCAAAATCAGCTCTTCCGATGATCACACATGCCATTCATTCTATTGGAAATCTGTTTACATGTAGGATATAAAAACCTGTGGATGAAGACCCCATAAAAGCACTCGAGATGACCAAATGTGCCATTTATTCTACTAGGTAGCGGTCTAGATGTGGGGTACGCAACCTGTGGATGAAGAACCCCAACCACGCTCTTATGAGGACCATACGCACCATTCATTCTATTGGGTAGCTGTCTAGATGTAGGGCATGCACCCTGTGGATGGAGACCCCCCTCCAAACAAGCCCTTGAGAAGGTCCTACATACCATTCATTCTATTGGGAAACCACAATTAGGGATTCTGTAGGAAAGACACTTCAAGCCCAGCAAAACAAACCCTGACCGCTCCACCCCCCTCTAAATATTGGGTTCAGCACCACCAGTTGGCTCTAACTGTATGGAAAAAAATGAATACCAACACTCTGTAGGATCTGTGCTGACAGATTACCCCGAGTAACTGCCAGACCTTCAACTTTCTTCAAAGTAGCAGATTAACAAAAAAAAAATAATATGAAGAAGTGACAGGAATAGCTATTGGCAGAGCCCACTGCTAAGCTGACAAGCCCCAGCTGTATAGTTTGGACCCAACACAAGCACAAAGTTTCTGCCAAATGGCTGCACGGTTACTAGTGAAACCCAAGCTGATTGAAGCTGTCAGTGGCAATCACAGAGAGCTCCATGCACAGCAATGCATGGCAGTACACACACACTAACTGACACACTGCACATCCAGTGCATGCAGGATCCCAGTCTGGGGGCTCTGGATGTGCAACAACCACAATGAGGAGGAGATGGGGTGCAGGGAAGGAGAGGATCAATCCTGTGGGTTACCTGTTGCCAGTACTCCTCCAGGGATGGCAGAGCAGAGAAGTAGCCAGTGTCATGCACAATCTGAAGCTCCTGGAAGATGCTGCACATGGGTAGAACATCCATGACTTACAGAAAATTAAAAAAAAAAAAAAAAGATAAAAAAAGGATAAAATGTAAAAAGGATCTACAAAAAGAGAAGTGCTACCATAGAGTCAGGGCAGGTTGTGGCTGCAAGTAGAATAGAATCCAGCGCTTACAGAGGATAGATCCCAGTAGAATGGAAGAAGTACGCCAGGTTTTCATGCAAATGTCATTGCATAGCAATTAGAAGCAAAAAGCCCTCGGAGCCCCCAGTAGACAGCCAGACACACAGGGCTCTGCCTCCTCCTGGAGCTCAGGGCTTGCTCAGTGGTGCAGACAATATTTGCAAACACTGAAGTGACTGCAACTGTAAACCACTGCAAAAACTTCCCTATACAACCCACGAGCCAGCCTCCCCCTCCCCACCCCCTAGCCCCCCACGTGATCCCATTACGCCGGCTCAGTACAGCGGCCAATCAGCCGTCACTCGCTGCCTCTGTGTTTGTATGATGTCAGATGCGCCCAATCGCCGAGTCCGGCGCTTCGGGGAAGCCTCTCGCGTGACGAAATCTTTCCCTAAGAGGTGCCGGCATTGGCCAGATTCGAAATTTCACTCCGCCCCCGGGAGGGTCGGGCGGCGCCAGCTATTTTTAGCTAGGTATATAAGACGGCGGCGGCTCACAAGACGGCTTCAGTGCGCTCGATGGCCGCTGTGAGCGCTTGTGGGTTCTCTGTGGTGAATGTGACAGAGCTGCGGCTACCTGTGTCATGGCGATAATAAAATCATGTTACATAAAATAAAACTGCCGAAATATGTTTCGGGTGTGTGCCTGGCGCCGCCATTTTGTCTACGGACGCGCTGAGCTTCATGTGTGTGAGAGGTCACATTCCTGGCAGTTCAATGGCCGCCCGGCCGCTGGCTTTGCGTTACGGCTCGTTCACGGAGCTGATATGTCGTCTTCTTAATAATAAGTGAGCGAGCCGAGCTCCCCGCCCCCTCCCCTCAGGTCACAAAATGGAGTCGCTCTTGTTTACTCGGCGCTGGAGGTTTGGCTTCAGCAGGAGGCGGGCCGCTCCCATCCCCCCCGCTCAATTCTCTGGCAATCCAGTCCCGTCTATAGAGAAGTGTCAGCAGCAGAACAAGGCTGACAGAGCCGAGTTCCCCTCACATTTCTCCCTCCCCCCTCCACATATCTGTGTGAAGTGTGGACGAGCAGGTTCTTCCCAGCACTCTGCGAATCACACAGAAAACACTGCCACGTTCTGTTACCATCAATAAAGAAGAATAGTCATCCCACAGCGGAAATAAAAACATTGCGGCCAGCTTCACAATTGTGCGTCTGTGTTCTCACATTGACGTCTACAGGGCCGAAAACGCACCACATAAGCACTGCGCAGAAGAGGCGAGCATAGCTGTGAATAGGCCCCATAGATGATAATGGGACGCCACTTGTCGCACGAGAAATGACACCAGAGTGAACGAGGGCTGAGCTCTGGGCTGGTTCTCTCCTGAAAGACTTGAAACACTTTTATACAAGTACTTAAAGGGGTACTAAACCCACAACAGCAACATAAGTCTGTATATGCAGTAACGCATGCTTGTTGTACTCACTGTGGGACCTCAGGGGTTAATCCTCTGCATTGTGTAAAAAGCCTTTTTGATCCTGACTTCTCTGATCCTCCCCTTCTTCTACTGTCCCCAATCCATCTGCAGATAGTACAGAGCCCTAATAGTCACTCTGCACATGTTCGGTTTAGTGTCTATTGCTAGAGAGTTTTTTTTTCTTTGGTAGGGTGCATGTAATCAGCACAGGGCCAATCAGCACTGTCCAGACAGAAGGTCATGGGTCATGCAGCCTCATAGGACAGTCAGGGGAGAATCACAACTCCTCCTGCAAGCTTTAACCAGTGCTCTGCTGGACACTGATAGCAGTCACATAATTGCTCAAAATGCTGATAAGAAAATGTATTTATTTATTATTTATTTCAGGTATTTATATAGCGCCGTCAATTTACGCAGCGCGCTTTACATACATATTGTACATGCACATCAGTCCCTAACCCTCAAGGGGTGTACAATCTAAGGTCCCTAACTTACATTCATACATACACATACTTTGGACAATTTAGACAGGATCCAATTAACTTATCAGCATGTCTTTGGAGTGTGGGAGGAAACCCAAACAGGCACAGGGAGAACATGCAAACTCCAGGCAGGTGGTGCCGTGGTTGGGATTTGAACCAACGACCATAGTACTGCCAGGTGAAAGTGCTAACCATTTAGCTACTGTGCTGCCCATGAAAATGTATTTATCAGTTTATATTTACTAAATTAATTGCATTTCCATGTAGTGTGTACTGTGGGAGACCAGATATAGTGAATGCAGATTCCGGGGTTTAGTAACATTTTAAAGGGTTAGTTCACCCTAACACCCTAAATGTAAAAGTGAAGACACCCTCCCCACCTCCTATTCCTCGGTGCACTTACATTCAGGGTTGCTGATCTGTCCTCACCACCCCCTGCAGCCAGTCAGGCGGTCCATATTTTCACATGCTCCCATTGAAGTCTATTGAAGCACTGCACCGTTTTCCATGTCACACAGAATTGTGTTGCATAGGTGTGAATAGGCCCCCATAGACGATAATGGGACTCCACTTGTTGCACAAGAAATGACAGCGGTGTTGACAGGGACTGAGCCCTGGTTTACACCTAAGAGACTTGAAACACTTCTAGAAGCACTTAAAGTACCCATGGGTGGATTGATAACTCATGGGGCCCCCGGGCAATAGGGGATCATGGGCCCCTGTGTCCTCGCCCACAGTCAAACCACACCTAAAAAAGCTTATGAAAGATACCAGGGGCATCTCATGGGGCCCCCTACTGACCCCAGGCCCTCGAGCAGTGCCCAATTACCCAAATAGTCAGTCTGCCCCTGAGTTCACCTTTACAGAAACAATGTAAAGGTGAACCTACACCAGATACCCTCTGATGTCTGCATGCGCAGCTCACTGTACAAATTCGGCAAAGCTGAATCTGCATGCGGGGGAGTGACGGCACCCCCGCCCGTCCAATGACAGTGGCCAGAGATTGAGACCCAGAAGCTGGCCGCTGGAAGATGTCAGCGTCCGGGTGGGAAGCAGTAGGATGGCACATCACTGGAACTGAGGTGATTAGTTCCGATTTAACTCTCCCTCCCAGTGGTGGACTGACAACTCATGGGGCCCCCAGGCAATAGGGGATCATGGGGCCCCTGTGTCCTTGCTCAAACTCAAAAAAGCCTATGAAAAAGGTACCAGGGGCATCTCATGGGGCCCCCTACTGACCCTGGGCCCTCGGGCAGTGCCCGAGTTTCCAAATGGTCAGTCCGCCCCTGCTCCCTCCCATACCATGCGGCAAGGTATCTAAGGTCTCTGTACCGCGGGTCCGGTTCCAGCTTCAGGTTGAGGGAACTGGCCGCTAGGGAGGCAGAACATCGATCCCCTAGTTACCAGAGGACCTGTCACCTGCACCAGGTACTGCTGCTGACCGGCTGCTTTACATATTCCCACCATTTCATGGTTACCCATAGAAACTACACTTCTCCATCCTTCTTCCCGAGTTAACCCCTTGTGATGGACTTCTACTCTTACCCCGTGTGTGCTTTAACAGGCCCTGTTCTTCCATATGCCATGTATCACCATGCACCCCTTTAGGGTAATTTCAGACCAGGCTCAAGAACAATTCCAGGAACTTTAATAAAAACGTCTGCACAGTTACAGAATAAAGTCCAAAACTCAGTCCTCCTAACTAACTGCTGGTGGTTCCTTGGGTGGGTGTATGCTAGTTACAGGGGCTACATCTTGCAGGGGTGGACCTTGAAGCTGGTTCCCATGTGGTCCTCTCCTGAACTCCAGGCTTCTTCAGGATCCATACAAAAAGGGGGATTTGTGAAAAGAGATTCACAGAAAAGCGGCTACATAGTGAACAGAACGTGACACTCAGAAAAATTTCCAAAAATTATGCTTTATTACACATATATAAATATGACATATGGGCATTCGCCCTGGTTTACCATCACCTCAGTATGAGACAATACACACAGACCTAAAACCATATAAAATGACACCAAAACCGGTCTGAATGCATGTGCAGCAGAAAAAATGACTACAAGAGTCTAATGTCCCTGTAGCACAGACACATAGGTGAACACTTCCCAAAGGAGGTGTATCCAAAAATTATACCATAGGCATACCATAATATGAAATATAATAGATTAAGCTATTACCATGATGGTAAATCCCAATCAGGGAATCCAAAAATTATACTATGGATATGAATATCACATGTATGCAATGCAGCAAGCACAATATGCGTCAAAAAGAGAACATCAAGCCTCAGGCCTGTATGAAGGAAGACATAAATGTCAAAAATATAATGCAATACATTCCTGTGCCGGCACAAGTGGTTGGGGCCCATTCATCTGTAATATAAACAGCTGTTTCCTAGAGCTCTTGAATGAGAATATGCCCCATTAATTCCCAGGATGGAAGAAAAGATGCACAAAGCAGCACTCTGCTTGAAATGGTTTCTTCACCACTGTATGTGGACTACACACCACTTTTCGTAGGAACAACAAGACACATCCCAATAGATCTTCTGCCTGTTGAAATATATGTGGTATATCTTGTTTCCTATACAAAGCACCATGATGTCCCCATCCTGTAGTAAAACAAACAATATGTGGGAAGTCACTGACAGAGCTTACACTCTATATAGGATATATAGGTCATGTAGATCACAGAGGACCATATATCTAATGTCCTGTAACAGTCCACTCACCACCTGTGCTGTGGATAATAGGAATGAAAGAGAAGTCCTTCATAGGTACTGCCATACAGGGCCAAAGAGGCCAAGGAACCACCGCTGACATCCGCCGATATACCGCGGGTTCCAGCCCCTTCTTGGCGCTTGTGCTGCTTAAGCTTGCCTCATGGCATGTGAAGATGGCTTCTTCCTTATGGGTCAGCGTGCGTTCCACCTAGTGCGCATGACCGGAAGTGACGTATCTGACGTATGACGTCAGCGCGTTTCGCCGATGGGCGTATCTCACTCAGCTTCTTCAGGATCCAGCCTTCCCCCTATTTATGAGTATGAAAGGGAAGAGGGCAGGCCCAGAAAAAGCCCAGGAACCGGTAGACCTAGCATTAACCCTTTCCCGCACCTGAAGGGATATGCTGACAGCTGACATGGCTTCCTGTGGTGGCACACCGAGAAAATGAAGAGCCAGGAGCACTGGCGGGGGAACTAAGAAGAGGAGGTTTGGGTCCACTCTGTGCAATTTCAGCACACAGAGCAGGTAAGTATAAACCTGTTTGTTATTTATATAAAAAAAAACAGAATTTGCAATCACTTTAATTAAAAAAGGGCCACTGACTGTTCTGCATCTTTAGAGAATGATATTGCTGTACAACAAGTCCTGTGTGCTTTAAAGTACTGAAACTATAATGTGCTGTGTTCCTATGTATATGTAATATATATATATATATATATATATTGATTGATTATTGGCTCACTGATCAGCTAGAGTGCACTAGCAACCAACAATGGCTCACTACTAGTATACTAAATAGCTATAGATTGATAAACTCCAGGACAGAATCTGCAAATAGCATATATGTCATGCCCGTACTATCCACTTTCTTAAATATTCTAGTGTTCATTAAATAAAGATATGGCCATAATCCGACACAGTTTTATACTTTTAATGGGTCCCTGTCATGACTATTGCAGCAAGGCAGTATGTGAACTGCAGGTGGTATCATCTGCGAGTCTATCTTTAGACCACATTCAGTTTCTTTAGACAGCCTGGTTGCATGCTGAGAACTGTAGAAGAGTCAGTAATGGCTTCAGCTATGTGTGTGTCAAGGTATAATATGGAAAGTTACCAACTTCTCTTTCTTCTTGCAAAGCAGATTTATTATCCAGAAGCAAGTCGTCATTTAAGGATCTTTTCCGTGGTGCAGTTGCCATACGTTATGTGCTGATTACTCTTCTATTATTCAGAATCTCTCAGGCTGCCTTCATATGAGAACCAGTCAAAACATGGAAGAGATTATTTGCCTTCCAGATAAGACTGGCAATGGACACTTTGTGCCTTGAAACAAGGCTTCAAGAAGAACGCTACAGAAGAAAGACGAAACAATCCAGCCAAAACTAAAAATGAAACAGTGGAATGCAACTGCTCAGGAATTTATATCTTTTTTTTCTTTTTACTCTGCACACAGGTGTAGTGGAACCAGAAACACCATTTGCTAATCCACATGAATGTCCAGACCATGAATGTCCAGACCAGGCATTGCTTTGCCTTCTTTAGGCTGCTTGTTGTTATCTCTAAGGCTGAGCCTACACTTTTCAAATTTTGAAAGAAATTCACATGGTGGGTGGAACTGTTAGCCTCCTCCAGCGTTTGATTAAAAAATTGAAGGAGTTGGGCAGAGAATTGTCAGCTTAACATCAGCTGCATCCAATCAGATGCAGCCTCTGATCGGGTATTCTGACAGCTGCCATCAACCTCTTTAAGCATACAGTAGCCCAGCAGGCAGAGATTGTCTATCCTGGCTAGTGTATGACCAGTTTAGGCAATAAGAGGGAGAAAATGAGAGAGAGCGGGGAATGTTGCATAGCATAGAAACATGTGACTGGAGAACATAGCCCCATCTTGAAGCACATATGGCCACAATTCATAGGCATTGATAAAATAGCTAACATTTTGAGCATTTAGTATGTATCTCAATTTCATTGTAGGATCTCAAAGGGTCAGTTGTATTTGTAAGCCTAGATGTCAAGAGTTCCCAACCCTCCCTTACATCACAGTGCACCCCCCTTACCTTGTGCTGCTGCTGGGAAGAAGCTGAGGGTGGAGCTGAAAATCAGGAA